TTGAAAACTCAATGCTTGCATCATGGGTTTCAAAAAGACTCTTATGCTTTGATGCAAGCTTGCACGGCTTAAAAAAGCGGGGGGGTTGGGGGGGGCGCAGCCCCCCCCATTTGCAAACTCAATGCTTGCATCATGGGTTCCAACACCGGGGGGGCCATTTGCAAACTTAATGCTTGCATCATGGGTTTCAACAAGACTCATATGCTTTGACGCAAGCTTGCACGGCTTAAAAAAGCGGGGGGGTTGGGGGGGGCGCAGCCCCCCCCATTTGCAAACTCAATGCTTGCATCATGGGTTTCAACAAGACTCATATGCTTTGACGCAAGCTTGCACGGCTCAAAAAAAGCGGGGGGGTTGGGGGGGGCGCAGCCCCCCCCATTTGCAAACTCAATGCTTGCATCATGGGTTTCAACAAGAATCATATGCTTTGACGCAAGCTTGCACGGCTCAAAAAAAGCGGGGGGGTTGGGGGGGGCGCAGCCCCCCCCATTTGCAAACTCAATGCTTGCATCATGGGTTTCAACAAGACTCATATGCTTTGACGCAAGCTTGCACGGCTTAAAAAAGCGGGGGGGGTTGGGGGGGCGCAGCCATTTGCAAACTCAATGCTTGCGCATACTACATATATACACTCCACGTATTTCTACCAGCTACAGCTACATCGCGGTAAAAAGAATCTTTGCGACTGGGGAGAACAGGGAAATCAAAACGAAGTCGGCACCCAAGCCAGGCCAAGCCGAGCCAAGCCACGCCGAGCCAAGCCAAGCCAAGCCAGCCAGGCCAAGCCAAGCCGAGCCGAGCCCACCCGAGCCAAGCCAAGCCAAGGAGCCAAGCCAACGAAAGCCAAGCCGAGCCAAGCCAAGCCAGAGGACAAGCCGAGCCAAGCCAAGCCAAGCAGCCAGCCGAGCCAAGCCAAGCCGAGCCAAGCCAACCAAAGCCAAGCCAAGCCAGACAAGCCGAGCCAAGCCAGGTCAGAGGACACGCCCAGCCAAGCCAAGCCAAGCCAAGCCACACCTTTGCAAGGGGACAGGGCCGAGCCACACCTTTGCAAAAAAAAAAAAACCGGACCCCCCTAAACCCTAAACCCTAAACCCTAAACCCTAAACCCACAAAAAACACAACCCAAAACCCCAAAGCCCCAATCTCAAAACCCCAAACCCTAAACCCTAAGCGTGCCCAACATGCCTCAAGGTTGCAAGATATGTTTAAAGCCTTCACCTTTGTTTGTGTTGGCTCTTGGTTTAAGTTCAGGGCTCAGGGTTCAGGGTTAGGGTTTAAGGTTAGGGGTTCGGGTTCAGGCTTCAGGGCTTAAGGTGTTTAGGGGTGCAGGCCCTGCTCCCCAAGACCCTGACAACCGAAGATCCCAGCCCTAAAAGGCCGACGAAACTCTGAAACAGGCAGGGGTTTAGGGTGTAGGGTTTTAGGGTTTAGGGTTTAGGGTTAAGGGTTTTAGGTTTTAGGGTTTAGGGTTTAGGGCTTTCCCAAACTTAGGACCCGAGAGAAAACTGCTGAGATGGTGACTTCTCTGTTTGGTTCAGCCCAACATTCGATTCATCCTCCGCGCTCAGCCAAAGCGAGGGATGCTTTCGGGGATGCTGCGTGGTCTTGGGAAGCCTTACAGCTTTTAACCCCTAAACCCTAGACCCTGAACCCTAAACCCTAACGCCCTAACCCTGAACCTGAACTCAAGACCTAAATGCCGAAGGCTGAAGCGAAAAAGCAGGACCCCTATCCCGAATCCCTAAACCGCCTAAACTCGTCGCCCTAAACCCCGACCCCGAATCATCTGGTTTAGAGACTTGCTGGTTTGGAGACTTGCCCTGTGTCCGACATACGAATAAGACCTTAACCTAAGCATTGCAGTACCTTAGACATGCCAAGGAATGCAAAACAAATGACCTGTGAAGAGGAACCCTAAACCCTAAGCCCTAAGCCCTAAACCCTAACCCCGAACTCGCGGCTCAGAAGTCTAAAACCTCGTGCGCTGCGTAGGGTTTAGATTTGGGGTTAAGGGTTAAGGGTTTCGGGATATAGGGCTTAGGATGAAATAGGGTTCAGGTTTAGGGGGTTGCGTGTACCAGAACCCCCTTCCCAATTCTGGCTATGCACCTGCTATTTTCCTATCATCCCTTATGAAGGGTAGTTCGGGGTGTTCCGGGCAGAGAGCTAAGGGTCTCAGAGAGTTACATCGCATACTCCCCCCCCTCCCTAACCCTAAACCCTAAACCCTGAACCCTGAACCCCAGACCCTCAACCCTAAACCTTAAACCCCTAACCCCCCCCCCCCCCGGCCGAGGCGAGCTTCACCGTGGTGTTGCGGATGAAGAGACTGAAGACCTTCGGGCATGGAGAACCCCAAAAACCCTAACAGTTGCCCTAACAACCCTAAAAACCCTTAAAACCCTAACAACCCTAAAACCCAAAAACACTAAAAACCCTAAACCCGAAATTACTAAACCTTAAACCCTAAACCCTAAGCGTCCCTAAACCCTAAACCCCGATACAAGGGAAGTCGCTCTTTGGCAAAGATACAGTGATGGGGATTCGGGATTAGGCTGGTTTGTAGGGCTCGAGGGTTTAAGGCTTTTAGGTTTCCGGGTGGCTCTGAGTCCCGTCCAGGCTTCTATGCTGGTTTAGGGCTCAAGGCCATTTTGGGATTTCAAGTCTGACATGTTACGACTCTCAAAGTCGCGGTGGAGCAGAGCTCATCCGTCTAGGTGCCTGAAATTACACGGCAATCCCGACTTTTGCAGATCGCCTAAACCCCCTAAACCCTAAACCGCCTAAGCTCGAAGCCCGAAACCCCCAACCCCTAAACCCTAAATCATATATCCCCAAACCCGAAATCCCTAATTCTCTAAACCCGAAACCCCTAACCCCTATAGGCCTTAACACCCAACGCGCAGCCTTCCAGCTGTCGGTGGCGGGTGCCGTCGGCCCTCGAAGCTTGGGATTCAACAATCCTACTTGGCGGCTCAGCAACAACTCCTTCGTTGCTGAGTTCATACAGCCCCCAAAAAAGTGTACACTTTCAGCTCTGGAGGGGACTATAGTATCCCAAAAAGTGTAAAGTGTGCTCACTCAGCTACGAAGACTCGTTGCAATAATCTTGCAGGCAGCTTGGGGATACTTGTGCAGATTGCTAAGAACTGTGTCATCATTCTTGGGGGATTCACCATTCACCTCCACGCGTCACCCGGAACTCTCGGTGAACTGTCAAGGGCAACCTGCACAAGGATCCACGGTCCCTCCTCAGGGCTTGTCGTGGGGTTCTACCTTGGACCCCTAAGGTGGTTCTACCTTGGACCCCTAAGGTTGTACCCTCGGGTTTGGGGACCCGTTTTAAGGATCCTCTCAGTGAACATCTTGCCCATGTAAGGAGCACATTAAGGGAAGCTCCTGAGAGTACATCCTGAGTGTTCCGCGTATGACTCCCTTGAGCCTTGAGCTTCGGGTTTAGGGTGTAGGGCCTAAACCCTAAACCCTAAACCCTAAACCCTAAACCCTAAACCACCAGCGCGGCAAACCCTGCACCCAAAAGTTCTGTGGCCCGTCCTGGACACACCTCACCCATTCACGCCCCTCATAAACGGGTACTTGGGTCCCCGAACCCCGAACCCTAACTTTCAACCCCCTAAACGACGCTGAAGGGGACCTTACACCCTAAACCCTCGTTTCGAACCATTTGGGGGGTTTCCGCAATTAGGGAGTACCTTAGTGGGGGTCCTTATTCTACGGGGATCCTACTCTTTGGGGATCTATATTGGGGGTCCCCCATTTTCCTAAACCCCTAAACCCTAAACCCTAAACCCTAAACCCTAAACCCTAAACCACCCATTTAGGCAATTGCAGGGCCCGGCCCCATATTGCCCAAGTTCCGCACGCGGGCTCGGGGAGGGGGCCGCGCTGCGCGCCGACTTGAGGACGAAACCTCTGCCCAGAGACTCCAAAAAACCCCTTAATCAAGGAATATACCTTAAATTATAATAGGAACCCTAATATGATTTAAGGTATATTCCTTAATTAAGGGGTTTTGGAGTCTGGGTGTCTGATCCGGGGCATGATCCAGGGCTTCTTAAGGGGATTTAGGGTTTAGGGGTTGCGGGTTTAGGGGTTTGGGGTTTAGGGTTTAGGGGTTTTGGGTGTGGGAGTTTGGGGTTTAGGGTTTACCTGGTTGGGCTTGGGTGCCCTGTGGACATCTCAATTTCAACTTCTACTGACGTAATCGGGTTAGGGATTAGGGCCCAGAGAACTTTAAACTTTAATCCAAACCAACCCCAGTTAGTATAGGGGTTAGCTTAAGAAGCGCAAACCTAGATTGTTGGGTAGGTTTCCTATAGGAATCCTACACGGGGCTATGCAGTTGCAACCTAATATGTTTCTAAAGTCCATGGGTTTTGTGCAATGAAAGCAAACAATTCCCAAGGAGAACCATATCCAAGAATCATTCAACATACCCCAAACCCATACCTCCTTAACCGATAACATGGAACATGAGCAAGGATTTGTTCATGAACCCCTTAATTTGGTTTAAGGGGTATGCCCAAGGGGGGATGTTGAGCAATTCTTAGAAAATAACACCCTAAGACTTAGAGGGTTTAGGGTTTAAGGTTTAGGACGGCTTCGGCTTCAGGATTTCGGATTTGGGGTTTTAGGACGGCTTAGGGTTCAGAATTCAGAGGTTGGAACTTAGGGATTAGGAAGGCTCAGAGACACAAGCGCAGCGTTGCTGTTTTGCTGCCGCTGGCTCCCTGGCGGAGCACGGCTTTGCCGTCTTCCTCCACAGCGCCACGCTACGACCCACAAGCTGACAGCAGAAACCACATATGGGGGTTTCCGAAGTTTACTTATTATTCGGGAATCCTACTCTTGGGGATCTATACCTAATTTTCGCAACCTCCATATGTCCCGTACGCCTGTAAACCCTAAACCATAAACGCCATGGACCCTAATACCTAGACCCTTGAACCCCTGGACGCTGAACCCGATACAATCCTAAGCTACCCGGCTTCCTCCTGCTCTGCAGCAAACTCCACCGGTCTCCGCGCGCTGCGGTTGCCCCGGGCACTCTTGTCTCCTCGCGCACTGGGAGCTCCTCTAGCGCTGCGAAGGCCGCCCTTCCTTGGTTTCTGGTTAGGGTTTAGGGTTTAGGGTTTAGGGTTTAGGGTTTAGGGTTTAGGGTTTAGGGTTTAGGGTTTAGGGTTTAGGGTTTAGGGTTTAGGGTTTAGGGTTTAGGGCTGGAGGGTAAAGGGTTGTAGGCTTCCAGGGTCGTAGGGTTACAGGGTTGTCGGGTTTAGAGGTTGGGATTTAGGTGGTTTGGGGTTCAGGGGCCGATGATGAGTCAGGGTTTCTAGGGCTTCTGGGGATTCTTGTTGGTGCTAACATGATAGAGTTAGGTAGGAGTTCATTGTTGCGTCAAGGTTCAGGATTTTCATTGCTGAGAGATGATGCCAAAGCCAGAATCCCCAAACTCGAGGTAAAGACAGTAGCACAGCAAACCTCTTTATCCAGGAGTCGGGCTTTAGGGGACCTCAAGTGCGAGATAATGACATGACCCGTCACCAAACAACAAAGCTGAAGCCCCTAAAGCCTAAACCCTGAACCCTAAACACCACACTTCAGGGTCCCCCATGAGGAAACGGAAAAGAAGACCTGCGGTGACAACTAAGCAGCCGATTTCTGCCCCCAGGAACAAACTCTTCAGCAAGTGGGGTTTAGGATTTAGGGTTTAGGGTGTAGGGTGTATGCAGGGTTTAGGGTTTGGGGCTTGAGGTTTGAAATCCATGTGCCCAGAAACAAACTCAACTACTATTTGCTTAAGAAGCACCAAAACATGAGATACAATATTCCTACACGATCCTTATGAGGAAGAATATTTGTTCTAGTTGTTGGGGGAGTTTTAAGCAATTGATAGTCAACAGCAAGTCTTGAAGCAAGCTGAAACCCATCCGTGTAAGCGAGCCGCATGAATGTAGAACTACATGTATATATGCATGCATGTACATAGCCAAAAGATTCAGTGATGTGTGTGCGTGCACACGGTTACGCTCTCACGTGCTCACGCTGACTCATACAAGAATGGACAGAGGCGCATGCTCATGTGTGTACACTTACAACATAGAAGACCTGGGCTTCTCCTAAACTACATGGCGTCCCCTCTTGAGGAACCTTCCGTAGTGTGATCCCGCATATTTCCTACGGAACGCAAGATGCCCCTAAACCCTAAACCCTAAACCCTAAACCCTAAACCCTAAACCCTAAACCCTAAACCCTAAACCCTAAACCCTAAACCCTAAACCCTAAACCCTAACTCTAGACCCTAGACCAACCCTAAACCCCGTAAGCCCGCGTCGGGCTGAGGATGGACCGAGGGCTGGCGGCGCTGTCGTTGGCACCCTCCGCAGCCTCCTGTCTTTGCTAGGAAGAAAGAAAAGGGCTTGGGGCACACAAGGTTAAGGGTTTAGGGTTTAGGGTTTAGAGTTTAGGGTTGGGAGTAAGGTCTAAGGGATTTCTCTGAGGGTAGTTGGCGCGTGTAGAGTAGTTTCTTCATGTTTCTTCACTGTCTTCTCTAGATGGAGGCTATTCCTACGCAGCAGGAGAAGCTCATTTTCCATGCTCGTTTTGCAGGCCTAAACCCTAAACCCTAAACCCTAAACCCTAAACCCTAAACCCTAAACCCTAAACCCTAAACCCTAAACCCTAAACTCTCAAGTTCCTTCGCTAAGGCGCATCCCCTGTGGCCTGCTGGTCTTTCTCAGCAGCAGCCGTGGCAGCAGACGCGGCCTCCGCACCCCTGGCTTGCCGCAGGCTCGCGCGGTGAGCACGGGGGCCTTGGCCCAGAAAGTTAAACGTACATAGATGTACACACCTCATACAGTGTGTATTTACCCCCGCATACTGTACATGCAAAGAATTAAATAGATAAATGAAAAAATAAATATAAAGATAAGTATAAAATATAAATTTACAGACAAATAAAGACATAAATATACATATATATATATATATAGATGTATGTATATATGTGTGTGTGCACACATATATACATATAGATGCAGAAATCATCTATATGAATACATGAAAGCGCCAGCATTCCCTCCGGGCCGCTACCCTCCCCCCCCCCCCCCACCTACCCCCTGTATCCCTCCCGCCTCGGAGGTTCATGGTGTTTGGGTGGGGGTGGGGGGTACCCCGGCTGCTTTTCAATGGAGGACAGGCGACCCGCACCGCTCAATTCAGGGGGTAGGGAGGGCGTCCCCACCCACAGGGTCAGAGCTTTTTCTCTACATGGGCGCGGAATATACCATTCTAAAATGGAGATGCGTATGTTTGTATATACGTCCCTGAGTGCCCTACAAGTTGTCTACTAAACCCCCCAAGAACATGTGTGGTCCTTAAGGGTGTTCCTATAGAATAACTTTCGGGCTCCACAGATACTACATGGACGCATGGACCCTTAGGGAAAACGTGTCGTCAATATGGCCAACGATGCGAGTCCCCATAATGAACCCTATAAAGGGCCGTTTAAGGGATTATAGGGTATAGTAGCTCATCCTGGTATAGAGCGTCTGGGGATATTTACATCGCCTTGCCGGAGCATGCCTGGTTTCTTTCGGTTGCTCAGCTTGCCAGGATTGCCGACGCAAGCTTGACAGGTTTTTTCTTCAGATTGAACTATAGCAGCTACACGCATAATATCAATAGCTTACAAGACCCCGCGTCCGCTTGAGTGGTTCAACAAGCTCCTACGTAGCTCCTCAATTGTCCGCTGAGCATGGCCACGTATGCAAGGATTATATACTTCCCTGACGCCTAGGGAGTACAGGGTTTCAGGGAGCAGTCCGACTTCTTGGTTTGCAAAAAAACTTGCGGGTAAGTTTTTGTTTAGGGCTTCGGATTTGATCGTTTCAGGGTTTAGGGCTTAGTTTGGGGTTTCGGGTTTTAGGGTGGTCTTCGTGATGTGTCTGCCCCTGTTCCAGCCACAGGGGTTTTACCGCAGCAAGTAGCAATTGTCTGAACAAGGACTTCGCAGCCACATGACAGCGATCAACAATTACTTGCTGGTTTTTAGTGGGAAGTAATTTAGGTACCTTATGTCCCCTTATAACAAATACAACGAATATAGATTTGCAAATACAAGATAAATAAATATAAATATATATATATACATATGTGTATACATTTATAGATACAAACCCTTTAGGCTACCTCATTATTTGAGGGGACTGCTTGCAAACCAGAAGGCTCATGTTGGAGCCTGCGCGCGCAGACTGCGGGCCTTGCCCGCGCGCAGATTGCGGGCCTTGCCCACGCGCAGAGCGCGGGCTGGCGGACTCCCGCGGACTGCTCGCTCCCGAGCCCCCGCCATTGGCGGCGCTGTTCGGCCGGCCCCGGGGGCTGGCCCCGTCCACGATGCTCTTGCGCCCGGAGCGCGGGCTCGCCCCGCTTCTCGGGCTGGCGCCGCTTCTCGGGCTGGCGCCGCTCCTTGGGCTGGTGCCGCGAGGGCTGCCGTCGGCGCGAGGGCTGCCTGAAGAGAGCCAGGGCCACTTGCAAAGGGGACTCATTGGGTCGTTCAAGGCTGCCGTAGTATGTGAGCACGACTGCAGGTGCTTGGGAGTCCTATCCTGCAAACTTTGGTGCACCAGCATCTTCTTCCAGAGCCCAACGCTAGACTTCTGAATTGCGTATCCAGCTGCTGCGATGGCCTTTAGACTCTAAACCCGTCTCCAGGCTCACGCAGGACGCTTGGTGCCCTAAAGGGTAATAAGGTCAGCTCTCCGAATGATAGTGCCTGTTTGGGATAATAAAGAAGCGGCCCCTCTTATTTAGGGTACACAAAAAGGGACCCTAGTTTAGAGCACTGACCATCTACCTGTTCTGGCATGCATTGGTCCGCAAGCGCCTCCTTTGGGTGACTTGGGCGACCTTGCTGACTTGGGCGACACGGGCTGTCTGCCTGCCAGCGATGAGCTGCAGAGTCCGACAAGTGGGTGGCTAAACCCTAAAGCCTAAACCCTAAATCTCATTTCGATACGTCACCGTTGTAGCAAGGACCACGGAAAAGGACACTTTCTTTTCCAACTGCACACTTAAATGGACAGAGAGTGGCCTGCACTGACTTTATGCTGCGCCAAGGTGTGCGCCTAAACCCTACACCCTACACCCTACACCCTACACCCTACACCCTACACCCCACACCCTACACCCTAAACCGAAAGCATTAACTCCAAACAAAATGCACAACCGTAGATGTGCAACTAGATATCCTCCGCCCTCATCCCTAAACCCCATCACCTAAACCCCCTTGACGCCCTACCTCAGGAACCCCAAGCCCTATCTCAAAAACCCTAAAACCTAAACCCTAAACCCTAAACCCTAAACAACCCTCAACACCCCATGCAGGTTCCCAAAAACCAGGATCCAAAAGGTTCCGGGGCCTTCAAAGACCCTAAGCCCAAGAAGCCCTAAACCCAAAAACCCCACACCCCAAACCCTAAACCCTATAGACCCTAGCCCTATAGACCCCACACCCTACTCAGGAAAAATCATCAGCCCTTCCTCTCAGAGCACATGGCCATCTTGAAGGTGTATCGGTAACCTAAAAACGGGGCTTAGGGTTTAGGGTTTGGGGTTTAGGGGTTGAGCGTGGCGGGTTTAGGGGGGGGGGGGGGGGGTTTAGGCTTTCGGGTTTCGGGTTTAGGGGTTCCCAACCCTAATACCTAAACCCTAAACCCGACAATTCAGGAATGAACCCGGGGCGCCCTGAAAGGGGGCGAAGGCGCCTCGAGCAGTCCTCTTGTTGCGGCCCTGGCGGGGAAGTAAGTCATGCCAAGCAGTCTACAAGGGCTGAAGGTTTAGGTTGAGGGTCGAGGGCTTAGGGTTTAGGGCTAGGGTTTCGGCCCTAAAACCCTCAACTCCCAACCCGAAACCCCTCAAAACATACTGCCAGATGAACCTGGGCCCGGAATTAGACAAACCGAGGGTAACCCTAAATAGCCTAAACCCTAAACCCTAAACCCTAAACCCTAAAACCTAAACCCTAAACCCTAAACCCTAACCTTAAACCCTACTAAACCACAGGAAGCCCGACCCCCCCCCCCCCCCCCCCCCTAAACCCTAGAGGAGTAGGGTTTGTGGGCCCTCAAGCTGAATCTGCAGCTCCCTAGCCCTAGACCCTCAACCCTCTTCGTTCCCGACACTTTGAGGAAATGCAACTCGTCTGCCTGAACCCTGCTAAAAACCCTAAAGCACCCCTAAACCCTACAACCCGACACCCCAAACCTTGACATGGAATTCAGAAAGACCCTGACGCTCTACGTTTGCTTAGTTGTCCAGTGACCTGGGGGAACTAAAGAATAACCTTTGGGATTATAAGGGGATTATGCTACCCCAAAAAGGTTAAAGGTTACGGGGTTTTGGGAGTAACCCAAACTCCGCCTCAACACCAAGTGAGCCGGATCCTTCTTGTGGGGTGGCTGTTGGGGGCCTTAAATCGCTAATGCACACACCCAGCGTATACGCTCACCAAGAGATATAGAGGCAACAAGAATACGCTCACCAAGAATACGGGGCCGCATATAGACCGTGCAATCAGCTTAAGGACCATCAAATCCTAAACCCTAAACCCAAAATTATTCCAGCCTTCTGCTTGTGATCGCGCGAGGAGTCGTCCTGACTGGAGAGCGATGGGAGTACAAGGCTTTGGCGCCCAGAATTTCGGGGTTTTGCCCTAAACCCTACACCCTAAAAGGGGCTGAAGGTCCAACAACTCCCTCCTCAACCCTAAACCCTAAAACGCTAAACCCTAAACTCTAAAAGAGAGGGGGGGGCGTCCTATAACAAGGACTCTAAATCACTTGGGGTTGCAGACTGGCCTCAAAAGGAGCCCACAGAACCCTTTATAAAGTTCTGAGCAGAGAAGGGCTTGAGCTATGTATGCTTTGGGTGGGGTTTAGGGTTTAGGATTTAGGGTTTAGGGTTTAGGGTTTAGGGTTTAGGGTTTAGGGTGTAGGAATTGTTTGTTTTTTTTTTTTTTTTTTTTTTTCGGGGGGGGGGGGGGGGGTTATTATAGTAGATTAAAAAAATATTAGTACTTATTCTGCCCAGGGCGGGAAGCATCGAGCGTGCACGTGTTAGATGAATTGAGGCTTCAGTGCCAGGGGAGGCAGGGGGGTCTCTCGAACCCTTCTTGTGCCCCGACTCTGTTTGGATTGTATTTACTTAGGGTGCCCAAAAAGCAACCCCATGCCGAACTAAGCCCAAGACCGCAAACCCAGGCCCTGGAATCCTGCACGACCTCCCTAAACCCTAAACCCTAAAACCCTAAACCCCAAACCCCAAACCCTAAACCCTAAACCCTAAACCGCAGAAGAGACCACCCCCCCGTAAACCCGAAACCCCGCAGCTCCTGGCCATCCCGCTCTTCCTCGGGCGGCTGAACTTAAAGTTGACTTGGGGGTTTCGGGTTTAGGGTTTAGGGTGTAGGGTTTAGGGTTTAGGGTGTAGGGTTTAGGGATTAAGGCAAGGGTTTTGGGCCGAGGGTTTAGGGTTTAGGGTTTAGGATTCTGAAACTACCCAGACCTTAGAGGTTGCTTGGGGGTCATTGAGGGCTACTTAGGTATGTAGGGACTTGACAAGGCATGTTAATAGGAGTTATATAGGATAAGATTAAGGGTCCCTTCTCATACCCCTCAAAGGCAACGGGGGTAGGGGCTTCCAACCTTATAACTCTGAACCATCCGGGAGAACGTGGCCAGGGTACGGTCTTAGCATCTGCAGAACCCTCCACCCGATGTCCTAGACCCAAGAATAACCTAGGAATAACATGGATGCCCTTTTTGGTTGACAGGGGGCTTATAAGGGGACCTAAGTCCGAAAAAACAGATCCGGGTCCTAGGTCCTAGTCTCATAGCGCCTGAAGCTTATAGGGCTTCGGCGTTGCGTTGCGCACTGCCGCCGTGGCTGGCGAGGGAACGCCAGGTCCCCGCCGTACTCTGTGACAACAACGTACCCCCAAAGAGCCCAACACCCCTTAATTTAAATAAGGTATGTACCTTAAACTCATGGGCATCCTTGTTATGCGTAGGGTATTCCTAGATAGGGGGCGGGGGGGGGGGGGGGGGGGGGGGGGAGTACCATAATCCCTTTTAAGGACTGTTCGAAAAAGGGGAAAAACCCCCAGGTACCCTTTTGGCTGAAACGGGCTTATACGGCAACCTAAGCTCCGCACGTCTCGTGTTGCAAAGGTCTGGGGATTCTCCGATTTCGTGAAACATCGCCCACCAACACGGTGTAGTGTTCTGGATTTGGGGTTAGCGTCAGCCAGGCAGGCAGAACCCTAAAAAATGCAGCCCTCAAAACTCCCGAAAACCCAAACAAAAGCAACACAAAACCCAACACAACCCCTGAAAACACCCCAAAAACAACCCCCGAAACAACAATAATAATAATAATATAAATAATAATAATAATAAACAAATAAAAAACAAATATAGAAAATTAAGAACAACAAACAAATACCCCCCCCCCCCCAAAGAAAAAAAGACAACAAAACCTAAGGGTTTAGGGTTTAGGGTTTGCCCAGTGTCCCGTCTCATGCGCATCTCAATGCGGGACGACACAGCGTGGAAGCCCAGGCTGTCCGCCACTTCCTCTGCATGCGTCTCGGGTTCAGAGGGTTTAATTAGGGCTTAGGGTTTAGGGTTTAGGGTTTAGGGTTTAGGGTTTAGGGTTTAGGGTTGGAGAGGGGAGGCTGTTCTACATTCTAGTTCCTCCCTTATGCACAGAACTGTTTTCTCCAGAATTTCTTTCAATAAGGCACTACACCCTGTCAACCCTTTGACCGTTGTAAGCCGCAAACCTTACAAACTCCAAACCCTAGAAACCCCAAGGCCTACAGACCCTAAACCTTAGACCCTAAACCCGATACCTTAAGTTGTATGGAGTAGGGGGTTTGGGTCTGCAACCCTTCTTCCTGGGCGCAAGAGAAGCAGTGACAGGGGCTGTAAGGGCCCTGGCATCTACGTTCCTACTCTGTGCCTTTTCGGTTCCCTAGCTTGAGGAGGTCACAATCTAGGCCCTACAACCTCAACCCCCAAGCCATATAAATCCCAAACCCAAAGCCCGGTTTAGGGTTTAGGGTTTAGGGTTTAGGGTTTAGGGTTTAGGGTTTAGGGTTTAGGGTTTAGGGTTTAGGGTTTAGGGTTTAGGGTTTAGGGTGTGAATGCAGCGACCACTAGGCTTCCCTGAGACGTTTGGCCGGGGGCCCGGACAGTGGCATCCAAGCCAGCAGTCGTTTTGAGGGTGCCTGGCTGAGGGGACACCCGAGACTTGAGGGTTTATGCATGGTTTAGGGTTTAGGGTTTAGGGTTTAGGGTTTAGGGTTTAGGGTTTAGGGCTTTGAGGGTTTGGGGGTTTAGGGTTTCCCTAAACCCTGAACCGTACATAACTCCCAAAAACCCTAGTTCACAGCACCCTCCTTCCCTTGGTCGCCCAGAAACCATCTTCTGATAAGGGCACCCCTTTTTTGGGTTGGTTACTTTTTACGGGAACCCAGAACCAATGCAACAAAAAGGGTAAATTGGTACCACTGGGCTATCAAGTTCCGAAGACGTTTTGGGGGGGTGCGCGGTGCTGGACCCTGTTGGATTTGTTGGATGGCTTTTGGGAGTGTGGGCTTTTGGTCAGGTTGAGGGTTGAGGGTTGAGGGTTGAGGGTTGAGGGTTGAGGGTTGAGGGTTGAGGGTTGAGGCTTGAGGGTTGAGGGTTGAGGGTAGAGGGTAGAGGGTAGAGGGTTGAGGGTTTAAGGGTTGGGGCTTTGGGATTAAGACAAAAGGTTCAGGGTTTAGGCTTGAGATTTTAGGCATGAAACGGGTGTTTTGGTCTCCCCCCTGCCCACACCCTACACACGCGTAAACACGGCTGCAGATCGCAAACCCTCAACCCCAAAAACCTAAACCCTAAACCCTAAACCCCAAACTCTAAACCCGAAACCCTGCGGCCAAGACACATTCAACGCCTTCTTCGATCAGGAAGTCCGCGAACTCGATCTGCCGCGCCTCGTGGTCGCAAGGCGCGAGCGCGTGGCGGCTTCGGGTTTAAGGTTTAGGGTTTAGGGTTTAGGATTTAGGGTTTAGGGTTTCGGGCAGTACTAGTAGCAGTGCTATCACTAGCAGAAAAAAGGTGACAGTAGACATAGTAGAAATGGCAGTAATAGCTAACAGTAGTAGCAAGAGTACTAACAGTACCTATTCAGTACTCATACAGGTATCAAATTGTAATGGCGGTAGAAACAATAATCGCGCAGCCCACTCTAACCCGGCTGTGGGCTTTAGGGTTGTTGGCAACCACTCCTGAAGCAGAAAGCGCCAACCCTGGAGTAGGATAGCGTCTCGCCTCAGGCTTATGGTTCGGGGTTTAGGTTTCGGGATGCACCCCTTAGGAGGCTTCCTATCTAGCTCCTGAGTATAGTCCTTGATCAGGCCCCCAGCCTTCAACCTCCTGGGAACAGTCTACTAGACCCAAGAGGAACCCTAAACCCTAGACCCGCATTCAAGGGAACATGAGCCACCTCCCAAAACAAAGGGAATAAGGGCCTACTCTGAGTCCTAGTCTAAGTCGAGCCTTGACGACGAGTAAAGCTCAACATTGCACGGCGGAAATCTGACATTGTTGCGACCTGTTGAGCACCCGTACAAGTAGCTCTCTAATTTTCGTATACATAGGCTCCCTTTTGGGTGGACGTATGTACTATGTAGGGCACCGGACTCTAAATTACACCCGCCGAAGGCAAGTGTTGAAAGTTGAGGGGTGAGGGCTTCGGCTTTGTTGAAAGAGGAGTAGCGCATTGCCCATGGGCTTGCAACCTAGAGCCTAAAACCCGAAAAACCCCAAAACCCCAAGAACCTTTAAAGTGCGAAACAACTATAAAACCCTTAAGACCCTAAGCCCTATAAACCGGAAACACCTAAAGGCTCTCAAGCCCTACTGCCGAAATTATATTAATTTCAAAACCCAAATTAGGCAAATGACGTCGCGCTAAATAGGAAACACGAAATTAGTGACGTCGCGCTTAATTTCAAAATTGAAATTAAGGACGTCGCGCTTAATTTCGTTTCCGAAATTAAGCTCCAGGGTTTACACATAGCCCAGCCACCCAAAATCAGGGCCTGACGGAACCTAAAACTCTCAGCCCTGCCCTAAACTCACTCAAACCCTGCAACAACCTATTAAAAGGAGCCTACCTGGGCCACCCTGAAACAACCCTACAACGACCTTGAAGCAACCCTACAACGAGCCTGTCTGCAGCCCAAAACACAATGTCAAGCCGATTTGGGAACAACCTGAGCCCTGTACCCCAAACCTTGCCCCAAACCCTGAAAAAAACCCTATCTGGGCCAGATAGGGTTTTTTTGAGTCTATCTGGCCATATAGGGCCGAAGCAAAGCCAAACCCCATTTTCAGGGCAACCTGGGCTACCCAAACTCCAGAACGCGAAACCAAATTCCAAGCCCCAAACCCAACCAGGGGGTGGGGGAGAGGGGGGGGAGGGAAGGGACTCAAAAAAAACCCTATCTGGGCCAGATAGGGTTTTTTTGCTCTGAAAAACGATATCTGGGCCAGATAGGGTGTTTGAAGCCAATTCCAAGCCCCAAACCCAACCAGGAGGCGGGGAAGGGGAGAGGGGGGGGCAAGGAAGGGGACGGGCCAGTTGTTGCCCAAAAAAACCCTATCTGGGCCAGATAGGGTTTTTTTGCGCAAAAAAAACTATCTGGGCCAGATAGGGTTTTGTTGCTCTGAAAAAGATAGGGTTTTTGAAGCCAATTCCAAGCCCCAAACCCAACCAGAAGGGGTGGGGGGTGCGGGGGAGGGGAGAGGGGGGGGCAGGGAAGGGGACGGGCCAGTTTTTGCTCAACAAAAACCCTATCGGCCAGATAGGGTTTTTTTGCTCCCAAAAACCCTATCTGGGCCAGATAGTGTTTTTGAAGCCAATTCCAAGCCCCGAACCCAACCAGGAGGGGTGGGGGGCTATCTGGGCCAGATAGGGCTTTTTTGCTCCCAAAAACCCTATCTGGGCCGGATAGGGTTTTTGATGCCAATTCCAAGCCCCAAACTGGGGTGGTGCGGGGGAGGGGAGAGGGGAAGGGGACGGGCCAGTTTTTGCTCAAAAAAACCCTATCTGGGCCAGATTGGGGTTTTTTGTTCAAAAAAACAAAATCTGGGCCAGATAGGGTTTTTTTGCTCTGAAAAACCCTATCTGGGCCAGATAGGGTTTTTGAAGCCAATTCCAAGCCCCAAACCCAACCAGACGGGGTGGGGGGGTGCGGGGGAGGGGAGAGAGGGGTGCAGGCAAGGGGACGGGCCAGTTTTTGCTCAAAAAAACCCTATCTGGGCCAGATAGGGTGTTTTTGCTCCGAAAAACCTTATCTGGGCCAGATAGGGTTTGTGAAGCCAATTCCAAGCCCCAAACCCAACCAGGAGGGGTGGGGGGGGTGCGGGGAAGGGGAGAGGGGGGGGCAGGGAAGGGGACGGGCCAGTTTTTGCTCAAAACAACCCTATCTGGGCCAGATAGGGTTTTTTTGCTCAAAACAACCCTATCTGGGCCAGATAGGTGCTCCCAAAAACCCTATCTGGGCCAGATAGGGTTTTTGAAGCCAATTCCAACCTCCAAAACCAACCAGGAGGGGCCTCAGGTTCTACAGCTTGTTGGTGCCAAACCAGGTCCTTAATTTGGCTTAATTTCGGATTTCTGACGTCACTAATTTGGCGCTAATTTCAAAATGACGTCGCTGACGTCACTATAATTTGTACAGCTAAAAACCCAAGGCTTCAACCCTGGCCTGTATAGCCAGGATCAGGGCCGTCGCGCCATCCTCCCAAGAAAGGTTGCTTCGCGCCATTGGAGCGCGAAGGTTGGGCTTCAATTCTGTAGGGCTGCCAGGTCATCGTTCCCTAAACCCTAAACCCTAAACCCTAAACCCTAAACCCTAAACCCTAAACCCTAAACCCTAAACCCTAAACCTTAAACCCTAAACCGTAAACCCTAAACCCTAAACCCTAAACCCCAAACTGGAACCACTAAGCCCCAAGATCCGTATGCCGACTGGTGAAGTATAAACTGGTGGGTCCTTTTGGTTCCTGGCTGGAACCAGACAGAATCTGCACCCAGCCGAGAACTACTCGAGTGCTTCCGGGGAACCCTAAACCCCAAACTCTACACCGTAAACCCTAAACTGTGCCCCAAAGCTCCGAGAGTCTTGGGACAATTCCAGGGGTCCCCCAAGCTTCGGAAAGGCCTCCCTGCCCTCAGGGTTGTAGGGTTGAGGGGGTTTGGGGTGGCATGTTCAAGCTTAGCCAGCATCCGTGGGCCTCGGGGTTGAGCACCCGCGGCAACCCCTAAACTCTAAAACCCTCCGGTCCTTGTCCTGCGCATCTGGGTCTGCATAATGCTTGAGCAACCTTTGGCGAGTTACCCTAAACCCTAAACCCTAAACCCTAAACCCTAAACCCTAAACCCTAAACCCTAAACCCCCTAAACGCCTAATCCCCAACCCCTGAACCCTGCCTCTTCACACCCTAGGCCCCCATCGGCTCTCTACCCACAGCAGTGCCATCCTCAATGCACCCAAGAAAGCCTCAACACTAGACAGCTTACCTGGGTCCCTGTTGGGCCTATATTTGAAAAGGATCATTCTTATCCTTCTTGGGTGTTTAGAATAACCAAGATGTAAACTTGAAGCCAACAAGGACTCAGTTACACCCTGAGCCCTGAAGCCTAAGCAAGCTGAAGGCGGTTCGTTCTGTTCCTTTGCTGCTGCTCTTCGTGTGTGTTGTTTTCTCTCCCTGGCTTTCATTGGAAATTAGGTTTGCGATGACAAATCCATCCAATGCCCCGTTGAAAACTAGAAGCTTGAGAGCTCGGCAAACAATTCGGATGTAAGGGAGAACTAACACCGAAATCCGGCCAGTTGCTTCAACAGTAGCTAGTTCTCTTGCAGGCGTAGAACATGCAACGAGTTGAGCTCTGCGTTGACCCTGTAGACAAACAAACCCTAAACCCTAAACCCTAAACCATAGGCCGCCCGCGCCAGGCGGCGGCCGGTACAACTGAACGCTACCGCTTCGAGATCTGCTTGCTTTGCCAAGCAGATCGAGCTTACCAGCCCCGCCAGGGTTGCCCCCGCCAGGGTTGCCCTCGCCAGGGTTGCCCCCGCCGTTTGCCCCCGCCAGGGTTCCCCCCACGGACGGAGTTGCCCCGCCAGGCCCGCCGGAATTGCCCCCTGCCAGGGTTGCCCGTTGCCCCCACCAGGGTTGCCCCCGCCAGGGTTGCCCCCGCCAAGGTTGCCCCCGCCAAGGTTTTTTCGTCAGGGTTGCCCCTGCCAGGGTTGCCCCCGCCAGGGTTGCCCCTGCCAGGGTTGCCCCCGCCAGGGTTCTAGGGTTGCCCCCTCCTGTTGCCCCCCGAAATTGGCCTCGCCGCCTATCCCCCGCCAGGGTTGCCCCCACCAGGGTTGTCTCCGAGGTTCACCAGGGTTGCCTCTGCCAGAATCGGCCCGCCAGGGTTGCCCCCACCAGGGTTGCCCTGTGAGGGTTGCCCCCACCAGGGTTGCCCCCCGCCAGGGTTGGCCCGCCAGGTTCCCCCCCCCGCCAGGGTTGCCCCCGCCAGGGTTGCCCCGCCAGGGTTGCCCCACCAGGGTTGCCCCCTTCCAGGGTTGCCCCCGCCAGGGTCGCCCCCACCAGGGTGACAGCGTTGCCCCCACCAGCCTACTAGGGTTGCCCCCTCCGGTTGCCCCCCCGAAATTGGCCTTCGCCGCCTATTCAGGAATTGTGCACCTGTATGCTTCGTCGTCCTTGTCTATGAAGGGCCCTGCCAAAGTTCTCCATTATTAGTGGCCCCCGCCAGGGTCCAGACATATATATATATATGTGTTTATACCTCACCTTGCCCCTGCCAGGGTTGCCCCCGCCAGGGTTGCCCCCACCAGGGTTGTCTCCGAGGTTCGCCTCCACCAGGGTGGCCGCTTGCCCCCGCCAGGGTTGCCCCCGCCAGGGTTGCCCGCCAGGATGCCCCAGGGTTGTCCCCGCCATTTTTCATATTTTTTAATCTACAATTTCTATCTTCTAATATTCCTTTAAGGAATTCCACTAATAATAAAATTAAATGGCATTTTTTCTCTCATTATTCGTAAAGATTTCTCTGGAAAGATATTAATTCTCGATCTATATCTTCTTCAAATTCATTTCGGCTTCTCTTCTTTCTCACATCCAGTGAATGCAGTAGAAGCATGTGGATTACTTACTCCCTTACATATCGTACCTGAATGGTATTTCTTATGCCAATATGCTATGCTAAAAGCTGTACCAAATAGAAATGCAGGATTCATTATCTTTCATCTTATTTTACTTTATGAGAAGTCTTTCAATGTCATTCTATTTTAAAACTAAGACGTCCAGTAGATTTAACGGTTTTTATCGCAACCCCGCCGGGTTGCCCAGTTTTACCCCTGCCAGGGTTGCCCCCACCAGCGTTGCCCCTGCCAGGGTTGCCGCCGAGTTAGGGTTGCCCTTGGCAGGGTTGCCCCGCCAGGGTTGCCCCCGCCAGGGTGACATTGCCCTCGCCGGGTTGCCCTGTCAGCCCGCCTCCTCACGTCGCCTACTCAGGAATTGTGCACCTTCTCTGCGACGGCCCTACGCACCTCGTCCTCTTCGCGCGCTGGCGAGGCTTCGTCGTCCTTCTCTATGAAGTGTTGTTTAGTTGCCGAGCAGGGCTTCAAGTGCGAAGGGTGCTGTCAAAGTTCTCTATTAATTAATTGCCAGGGTTTCCCGTTAGTAGTCGCCAGGGCCTCGCCAGGGTTGCCCCCGCCAAGGTGGACATATATATATGTAGAGAGAGAAATAAGAAAGTGTTTTTGAAACAAAAAACCTCGCCTCGCCCCTTCCAGGGTTGCCCGTGCCAGGGTTGCCCCCGCCAGGGTCGCCCCCGCCAGGGTCACCCCCGCAGTTGCCCCCGCCAAGGCCCTTGCGCCAGCGGGTGGCCGGGCCTTCCGCGCTTGGCCCTCGCCATTCTGCCGTATGAATGAGCTTGGGTCCGGAATTGGGCTTGAGGGTGTCTTAAACACAGTATGGGTGAAACAGATTGTCCCGCTCCCTGTTGATCCAGGAAAGTGTACGCTCAAGCAACAGCAGCAGTCAACACGTCCCACCCCGGCCAGCGGGGAGACTCGAGGTGTAAGCCCCCTTGATAGGGGGGCGGCGGAGGGTAGACCGCTCTAAACCCGAAAAAGGCGGCAGTTTGGGTGGCTGGGGTGGGATCCGCTGCACCGAGGCGGCCCGACCCGCCACCACTGGCGCGGGTCGGGACCGCGGCACTTTGGAACACCCTAAACCCTAAACCCTAAACCCTATAGACACAGAAGAGGTCGACGGAAAGGCATGGCCAACACATCACGACCATGCCCAGCGGGATGCATGCTACCAAAGGTGAGTTGCGATGAGCCTGTCTCCGGCTACATATCCCCCCAAACAGTAGGATTCCCAAAAAAAGGGACCCCAAATAAGGTAATTTGATAAACCCAGAACCTAATCCCTAAACCCTAAGCCCTAATCCCGAAACACTCCTAAACTGCAGCTGGTTGAACCTTAGCCCGATTCGCAAAACGCACATCCCCGTAGCTTCTGCCACGCGGCAGGGTTGCAAGGTCTTTGTTGCCGTTGATAGCTGCCAGCCTAGGCTCAAGCCTAGGAGCCCTAAGTCCTAAACCCTAAACCCTGAACCCTGAACCCTAACACCGAACCAGCATAGACCATGGGTGCCGAATTCGCGCAGGCGCTGCTACCGTCCGCCCTGCACTTTGAGCCCCCCAATATCCCTCAGCCCGAATTATGCTCTCTGTAGGGTTTACACCCTTACTCCAGCAAAACCTAAACAATGGTTTCGAGTTAGCCCAATATCCGCTTAAGTAAGTAAGAAACAGACCTTGAACCTTATAGAGATCCTTCTTCTAGTTTGCTTAGTTGTGTCCGGGCGTTGCCTCTTGTGGTTGAGAGGGTTTAGGGTTCGTGGGTTGTGGAGATTTAGCTGGGGGTTCTTCGGGTTCTGGCCTCAGGGCTATGAAGGGTTTCCGGTTTTAGGGTTTTAGGGTTTTGGGGTTTTGGGGTTTGGGGTTTGGGGTTTTAGAGGTTAGGGACACCGGAGTTTCGGGTTCAAAGTCTAGGGTGAGAGCGGGGAGACCGTGGGGGGGCGGGGGGGGGCAAGAACGCACAGCGCACAACCATTTTTAGGCCCCTCATTGCAGAGCTTTGGCGACGGTTTCAGAATTTCGGTTTGGGGGATCCTAAACCCTAAATACTCAACCCTAAAACCTCAGACTCTAACCCCTTAAGCCCAAACCCGAAACCCTAAACCCTAAACTCTACATGAAGGTTTAGGGGGTGTGTTGATCACAGCCTTGTCTGAGCGCTTCCCTCTTCCACTAACCCTAAACCCTATAAACCCTATAAACCCTATAAACCCTATAAACCCTATAAACCCTATAAACCCTATAAACCATATAAACCCTATAAACCCTATAAACCCTATAAACCCTCTAAACCCTATAAACCCTATAAACCCTATAAACCCTAAACCCTACAAACCCTAAACCCCTAAAGCCCTAAAGCCCTAAAAGCCCTAAAGCCCTAAAGCCCTAAAACCCTAAAACCCTAAAGCCCTAGACCACCCCTAAACCCCTAAATCCAAACATGGACCCCTAAACCCCTACACCCCTAAACCCCATACACACCTAAACCCTAAAAATGGGCCCTTTGCCGCGTCCCTAAACCCTAAACCCTAAACCGTAAACCCTAAACCCTAAACCCTGAACCCTGAACCCTGAACCCCCTAAACCCTTAGATCAAGATGAGGCGCATGAAGGGAGTTGTGAAGGACTCGTCGGCGGCCACGTCCACAGACGCGTGCATTTTGAGCAGCCACCTCATCAACTCCTGGCACACTTAGGGCCTACAGGGTTTAGGGTTTAGGGTGTGGGGTTTAGGGTTTAGGGTTTGGGGTTTAGGGTTTAGGGTTTAGGGTTTGGGGTTTAGGGTTTAGGGTTTAGGGTCCGCCGACCCTGGCGGCGTGTTGGATAGGTTTCTGGACGTGAAAACCTCCCTTTTTCCCTCCTTACCCCCCAAAACGGGGGGGGGAGGGGGTCCTGCTGGCCCCCTCAAACCCTAAACCCTAAGCCCTCCCACCCTTAACCCGAAGCCTGTGGTCGTTGGGCTGTCCTCGGTTTAGGCTTTCGGGGTTTAGTTCCGGTTTCGGTTTAGGCTTTACTTTGGGGTTTAGGGTTCGGCTTTAGGGCTGAGGCTTTAGGGTTTAGGCTGTAGGGTTTAGGGTTTCGGCTGTAAGGTTTAGGGTCGGGCTTGGGTTTAGGGTTTGGCGCCGGGGCACGCTGCGCCGCTTGAGCCCTGAACAATGCTCCGGCGGGGTCGGCGGCTTGAGCCGGAGGCTCTTAAATCCGGCCCCCGCGCCGCCCGTGGTCCAGGGCGGAGCCCGCGTCGCACTAAAGCGCTAGCTTTAAGGGGCGAGCGCCCGAGCCGCCGACCCCGCCCAAAATTGCTTCAAATTCGCGCGGGGCCCTTCGGGAGGCCTCCAAAACGGCATCCAAGGGGACGCAACACGCGGTGGTGCGAAAAGCACGAAAACCTCGTAAAAACCATGGGTTTTTACGAAAAACCGAGGCCACAAAACACCCGCAGCACCCCATTAAACCCTCACGGGCGCGCATCATCGGCCCTATGGGGCGCGCGCCAGGCCGAAACCGCGTTTTTCAAGGTTTGGGGGGGGTACCGGAAGCCCAAAACCAGGCGAGCATCATGAGCATCAGCAGCCCTGGCCCGCGGGCCCAAGGCAATAAAAAACGCTGAAAAACGCTGAAATCACCGTAAATACCGTGTTTTTATGAGGTTTTTCACGCGTGCCTCCGACCCCCACCCCTGTTGCCCTTGACCCACCCCCAAAGTGCGCATCATCGAAACCCACGTCCGGGGGGGGGTCTGCTGATGCTGCTGATGCGCGGGGTCCGGGCGCATCATCGAGCCATCGCTTCTCTTGGGCTTCGTGGGGGGGTCCGGGCCCACGGCCCAGAGACCCAGCTGATGCTCATGATGCTCGGTTTGGGGGGGTGTTCCAACAGCAGAAAACCTCGTAAATACCGAGTGTTTTGTGGGTCCACGTAAAAACGCCCCTAAAATCGCTCATTTTACGCGCTCGAACGGCTTCGTGCCTACAAAACACCCGAACAGCAGGACCCCGAATGCCCTTAAGGGCATTCGGGGTCTTGCTTTTGGGGGTTTCGTGGGCACGCAAGCGTTCAAGCACATACAATCGGCGTGTTTAAGGGGGTTTTGGATGGCCTGGGGGAGGCCGCTGATGCTCATGATGCTCCCTTTCCTGGGTCCCAAAAGGCTTCCCAAGCCCAAAAACACGTGTTTACAGCGTTTTCTCGAAGGCAAAACGCATGCATAGAATGCTTTTAAGGCCCCCAAACCAACCCCACTGATGCTCCTGATGCGGGTGCGCGCGCGCGCGCGCGGCGCGCGCGCGCGCGCGCGCCGGGGGGGGAGGGGGGGGGAGGGAGGGGGGGCGAAGGCAGGAGAAAGAGAGACAGAGAGAAGGAGAGGACAAAGACACGGGAAAGAGAAGACAGTGCCAAGGTTCAAGGTTTCGTGCTTTGGGGGGCGGGGGCCGGCCCGTGCCGCTAGGCCTGAAATTAGGCTTTGGGGTTTAGGGTTTGGGGTTTGGGATTTGGGGTTTTGGGGTTTAAGGCTTTGGCTTCCCCGGCAGAGCAGGCTATTCCGCTCACCAGTACTGTAGATGCTCGCGGCTCCGCAGGCCTATACCTCGCATGGACAGACCCCGAGAGAGTGGAAACCTTTTGGCAAAAACCCTAGAACCTAAATCCCAAAAACCAGAAAGTTCAAAACCCTGAAACCCAAAAGCCTCAACCCCAAAACCCTAAAATCCTAAAACCCCAAACCCGAGACCCTAAAACAACCCCCCCAAACCCTAAACCCTAAACCCTAAACCCTAAACCCTAAACCCTAAACCCTAAACCCTAAACCCTAAACCCTACGGTTGCGCTCGTTAAGCTCAGGGTTGAGGGCTTTATAGGTCTTTATTGGGGCTTCGGATTCGGCGTTCTTTCAAGCCTGGCCAACCCAGTCAGCAACTAACTCGGTCTGGAGGTTTAGGGTCTCGGGTTTCTTCAGGTTTAGGGTCTATGGTTTGGGGTTTGGGGTTTGGGTTTTGGGGTTTGGGGCTTGGGGTTTGGGGTTTGAGGTTTGGGGTTTGGGGTTTGAGGTTCGGGTTCAGGCGCCCAGCTCCTTGTTCGACGTCTCTGTGGCAAAGAACCTGGGTCTTCCGACAGGAGGCAAGGGACAAAACCCACCCTTTTAGTTGCTGACATAAGCCAAAAAAAGTGTACACTTTCAGTTCTATAGGGGCTTATAATATCCGAAAAAGTGTAAAGTGTACTCACTCAGCTACTCAGCGCTAGACCCTCTGAAAGAATCAAAAAAGCTATTTTCTGCCAGCCTAAACCAAAACCCTAAACCCTAAATCCTAAATCCTAAACCCTAAACCCGAAGCCATAAACCCTAAACCCTAAACCCTAAACCCTAAACACTAAACCCTAACCCTAACGGAGCCCAGAGGCAGGAGGGTCCAGCCATTCTCATCCTGCACGTCGATGTCGACTCCCTGCTCCTCAGTTTCACCCTAAACCCTAAACCCTAAACCCTAAACCCTGAACCCTAAACCCTAAACCCTAGACCCCAAACCCTAAACCCGAGGATCCACCGACATGGGTAATGTGGGCTTGGATTTAGGTCTTCGGGTTTCTGGTAGAGTGCTTGCAGGTTCGTGGGTGTCTATACGACGTAATCAAAACCGGACCTACCCTGCTTGATTCCCTACATATACCTACCCGTGAACCTCCAGGTACAGGCACGCATGCAACCTAGGAGCCTATTCGATTCGGATGGGTATGTTGAGTAGCTTTTGCTACCATATGCACAGACAAATAATATCGGGAGAATGCTGGTTATTGTTTAGGCTCCTCTGTTTTGCATGCGTTGCACTACCTGTGCGCCACATGGCATCGCAGTGTAGTACCTCGTAGCCTCTGGAAGTATCCCGAAACCCTAAAACACTAAAACCCTAAAACCCTAAACCCTAAACCCCAAACCCTAAAACCCCCAAACCCTATACCCTAAACTCCTAAACCCTAAACCCTAAACCCTGAAGAAGCCCTCCCCGAACCCATATTCGCGGCAAGCGTCGCCCAAGTGCTTGATGAGTCGAGTGCCACCCTGTTGCGCCATGACTGCCCTCAAAAGACCCTAAAAAGCATCCCCTAACCCTAAAACCCTAAACCCTAAACCCTAAACCCTCGAAGCTCGACCTCAAACCTAATCCATGAACTCCCCCCCCCCCCCAAATCCGAAATCCTAGACCCTGAACCCTAAGGTTTTCAAACCCCCCCAGCTTCATAGGGTTTAAACCCGAGAATCCAAATCTCAGAACCAACTCCTCCGAGCTGAAGAAGGAGCTGCTTGGGCTTTAAAAGAGTCTTTGGTTTGGGGTTTAGGGCTTGTAGGGTTTAGGGTTTAGGGTTATAGTGTTCGAGGCTTAATTGCAAGATTTTCTACAGGGATCATTGGAGGGTGTAGGGTTTAAGGCTCGGGTTCAGAGAGGGTTTGTTGGGGTGTGCTTTTGCGGCTCTTGTGCGCGAAGAACAATCATCTCAGCACATTGCTTGTAATGGGGGTAAGAGTGTTGTTTTTTGCTCCGTACGTTTTTTGCTCAGCACGCCTTTTTGTGACTCACGCGGCTGGCCGAGCAAAAAAACACACCCGGGCGCGTTTTTTTTGGTTCGGGACGCGGCTGGCCGGGGTGCGTTTTGCTTTTGTTCGGGACGCGACGGCTGGCCCAGCAAAAAAAAACACTGGGGTAGCCGCGTATTTATTCGGCATGCAGCTGGCCCAGAGAAAAGAAAACACTCGATTTTTTCATGTTTAACTCCATGTTGATATTCTTCATAAGGAAAACCTTCTATCTATATTCTCAGCGAAAAACGGAATTTTCTCTATTGCAAGTGGGAAAACTCTATTTTTATCGAAGTTTTCATAGGGAAAAAACTGTTTCCATACCAACACCTTCCGAAGGAATTGCCCCTAAGCCGAAGCAGTAGACAGGTGGAGTTTTTGTTTTCGTTTTTTTGGGTTATTGTCTTTATTTTTTCAATTTTCTTGGTTTTTCTTAGGAAAGCCCCCATTCCGTCCATATTTTCATAGGATTTGGTCCATGTCTTGTTTTTCCCAGGAAAACCTGCATTCCCTCCGTATTTTCCTCGGATTTCATACTACTTTTCGTAGGAATCTTGCTCACAAGCTTGCACAACTTGGGGTTGGGGGCCCCCCCCCCCCCCCCCCCGCCCCGCGTTTGCAAACACAATGCTCGCATCATGGGATTCAATCGTTCGTATGCTTTGAAACAAGCTTGCACGGCTTTGACACGGGGGTGGGAGGGGGTAGGGGCAGGGTGCAGCCCTCCCATTTGCAAACACAGTGCTTGGGTTTCAAAAAGACTCATATGCTGGGGGTCATATGCTTTGAAACAAGCTTGCACGGTTTTAAGAAAGCCGAGGGGGTTGGGGTGGGCGCAGCCTCTTCGAAAAGCGGGGGGGTTGGAGGGGGCGCAGCGCCCCCCATTTGCCAACACAGCGCTCGCATGTTGGGTTTCAAGACTCATATGCTTTGAAGCAAGCTTGCATGGCTTCAAAAACGGTGAGGTTGGGGGGCAAGCGGGGAGGGGGTCGTGTGGGCCTTCGTCCAGGGGCGCGTGTTTTGTTTGTTCCAGACGCGGCTGGCCGAGCAAAAGAAATAACGCCTCTCATAGGATTCTTGTGAATTTGGTAGGATTCCAGTGAAGTTTAAACGATTTCTCATTAACTTTTAGAGGGTTCCTATAAATCTTACTACAAGGTTTCCGACTAAAGTTAATGGGAAGTCTACTAATTCTTACTACTTTAAATAGGATTCCAAATAAACTCTGCCAAGGATTCTATTCATTTCAATAGGATTCCTATGAGTTCTTCGTTTTATAAGAACACCTCTTATAATCTCGCCCAGAGGCGCGCTTTTTTGTGTTCGGGACGCGGCTGGCCGAGCAAAAAAACCTCCGGGCGCGCTTTTTGTTCGGGGCGCGGCTGGCCGAGCAAAAAAAGGAAAAGGAAAACAGCTGGCCGAGCAAAAAAGAAAAGTTCCTTGTCATGGGCTTGGGGTCGGGGTCTTAGGGGTCTCTCAATCCGGAAACCCTAAACCCTAGACCCTAAAAAACCCTACAAAAACCCCTACGCCGCAAAAAAAAAAAAGAACCTAAACCCTAAAAAGCCCTAAACCCTACACCCTAAAACCCCCAACACCCCGAGCCGGAAACCGCGCACCCCATCGAAACCTGTCTGAATCCCCGGAATCCTCCAAGTCTATGTGCCTAGCCCTAAGGGTCCGTGTACATTATTAATTAGTCCCTACATAGGAAGTACTTTAAGGCCCAAGTGTCCAGGTACACGGACCCTTAGGATAAACCTGGAACCCCAATCCCTACAAGCACCCGAAGCGCCATGAAACCAACTCCAAAGCCGGTGTTTAGGTTTGGGGTTTAGGGTTTGGGGTTTAGGGTTTAGGGTTTAGGGTTAGAAGCTCAAAACCCTAAACCCTAAACCCCAGGGTTTATAGGGTTTAGGCCGTAAACCCGAAACGGAGTCCCATGTTCTGAGGCCTCGAGGGCGCACAGCATGGCTGTCGTCTTCCCGTCAGCAGCCTGACACAAGTAACCACATCATACCCTAAGGGTTTAGGGTCTAGGGTTCAGGGTTTAGGGTTTAGCGTTTAGGGTTTAGGGTTCAGGGTTTAGGGTTTAGGGCATCATAACCTAAGGTTTCAAGGTTTAGGCTTCAGGGTTTAGGGTAACACCCCTAACCCTAAACCCCTTGAGGGCAAAGTCAAGGATCGCAAAAAAAAACAGCTGTTGTTCGGATTGGGGTGGCTTGTGCAAGAACGCAGAAACAAAAACAGGGGGAACTAGTGCGCCATCCATCCTAAGCCCTAAACCCTAAACCCTAAACCCTTAACCCTAAACTCTAAACCCTAAACCCTAGCTTTAGACCAGGAGATCCAGAGATTCACTAGACCCAAGAGCAACCTCGGAAACGAAGAGGGTGCACTTGTCGGTTGAAAGAGGCCATTGGAAGGAAACCCGAAAACCCTAAAAAAACAGAATAAGGGGCCCACTCTGGGTCCTAAACCCCAAAAAAATAGAAAAGGGGCCTACTCCGGGTCCTAAACCCTAAACAAATAGAATAAGCGCCCACTCTGGGTCCTAAACCCTAAAAAAAGAAGAAGGGCCTACTCTGGGTCCTAGTTCAAAGCCTCAGGGAGCTGATTGTTGAGCTAGGCGTTGGAGCTCAGGGTTCAGCGGACGGGGATGATGATGATGATGATGATGATGATGATGGCTTAAGGGTTTAGGGGTTTAGGGGTTTAGGGGTTTAGGGGTTAGGGTGATGTGATGATGATGATGATGATGATGATGATGATGATGATGATGATGTAGTGAAGGGACTCTATAGGGTACCAAAATCCCAAGTTCCCTCCCTACGCTCAGTCCTAACCCTAAACCCTAAGCCAGAAAACTAAACCCTAAACCCTAAACCCTAAACCCTAAACCCTAAACCCTAAACCCTAAACCCTAAACCCTAAACCCTAAACCCTAAACCCTAAACCCTAAACCCTAAACCCTAAGCCCTAACTAAAGCCCTAATCCCCGAAAGCCTGAGGCCTTAAAGGACATCAGCTTCGGCGCGCCACGGCACAAGATTCAGCATCCCAAAGTTGAAGGTTTAGGGTTTAGGGTGTAGGGTATAGGGTTTAGGGTTTAGGGTTTAGGGCTCAGGGCTCAGAGTGCAATGTAGGGTTCAGGGCTTAGGGATTATCAGCTCTAGAGGGTTCATGGCTTATAGAGGGCTTTCATGGGACTTGTAGGGCTCACGGGGTTTAGGGTTTAGGGTTTAGGGTGTAGGGTTTAGGACGTATAGGGTTTATCGAGCCTTCATCGCCATATCCTATATCCTCCAAACCCCGGTCTATAGGCTCAAGGGTCGATCCTGCAACGTGGGGTTTGGGGTTTAGGGTTTAGGGTTACGCGCTTTGTTCTGCGAGCTTGATTTCTCGCCGGGTCTTTGAGTCACAGTTCTACGCCTACAAACCTACAGCCCATGAGGGCACCTAAAGCCGCACTGCACTTTCACGACTAAGCCTTACAAAGCAATAAACCCTAAACCCTAACCCTAAACCCTGAACCCTAAACCCTAAACCCTAACCCTAAACCCTAAACCCTAACCCTAAACCCTAAACCCTAAGCCCTAAGCCCTAAACCCAATGACACCAAAATCTCAGGAAGCGGAGCCACGCTGAGGGTTGGCTAGTTCATCTCCTCACTGGCCATACTTCTTGCCCAGGTAGCCAGCCACGTCCTAGCCGCGTGATAGGTTCAGGGTTTAGGGTTTAGGGTTTAGGGTTTACGGTTTAGGGTTTAGGGTTGCAAGGGTTGTTTAGGGTTTAGGGTTACAAGCCTAACCCTACATATGAGTACCCTCACCCTACCCTCACCCTAAACCCTACACCCCCGCTTACAAGTACGTAGGAGGTGTAGGAGGTCTAGGGTTCAGGGTTCAGGGTTCAGGGTTTAGGGCTCAGGGTTTAGGGTTATGGGCTCAGGGTTTAGGGTTTCGGGTTTTAGGTCTGAACATCAGAGACAGTGAGACAGTCTCAACTTTGCTCCCCCGACGTCAGCCATACACGCCCAACGCCACGCCATCCACCCAACATAACCCCCGCCTTCTAAAAACCCCAAGCCCTGGACCCCTAAACCTCAAAACCATGGAACCTTGAAGCCTACACCCTGCCCTAAACCCTATGCCTTACAACCTAAACCCTAAACCCTAAACCCTAAACCCTAAACCCTAAACCCTAAACCCTACGGGGTTTGCAACGCTCCGGGGGCGCGCATCCTTGAAGCGCTCCGTGAGCGGGACGGCGGCGGAGCCCAGAGAGTCGTCGCCCTTGAAGTTTGCAGGGCAGACCTTTCAAGGGGGTTTAGGGTTTAGGGTTTGGGGTTTAGGGCTAGGGTTTATGGTTTGGGGTAGACCTTGCACCCTAGGAGCTACGCCCTAAAGTTCTAGAACCTCAGGCCCTACACTCTCCACCCCCCAAAATCTCAACCCCAAAAATGTGCCGGCTCAAAGTCGGGAATTCGGGAAGTAGGTGCCCTTGTAAATCCTAACAAGGGATCTACAGGGGATACCGAGTTCCCAACGATCCCTCTGCAGAGCTGGTCTATACCCCCTACATCCTAAACCCTAAACCCTAAACCCTAAATCCTAAACCCTAAAACCCCTCCCAGCCCGAAGCCGGTCTTACGGTTTCGTTTGCTTAGGACGTAGGGGCACGTCGCCTGCAAAGCCCAGAATCCCCCCCCAGCAAGGACTAAGTTGTGTTCAGAGTCTAGGGTCTAGGGTTTGGGTTTTTTTTGGTTTTGGGTTTAAGTGCTTAGGGTTACCATAACCCCCCCCCCCCCCCAGAAGAAAAAAACAACACAAAACCTAAACCCTAAACCCTAAACCATAAACCCTAAACCACGGGCTGGTGGGGCCTTGCCATTCTTCTCGAAGTACTGGAGAGCATCCAGCATCCTAGAGTCGCTTTTTGCTTTAAGAGTCTCTTTTGTTGCTTTAGGGGTTTAGAGCTTAAGGTTTATAAGGTTTAGGGTTTAGGGTTTAGGGCTTAGGTTTTAGGGTTTAGGGTTTAGGGTTTAGGGCTTAAGGTTTACGGTTTTGGGGTTTTGGGACTCCAAGAATTTGAGGGTTTCAAGGTTTTTGAGGTTCTTGGGCCGGAAGGACTCGGGCGGCTTGGGGTTTAGGGTGTAACCAGGGTTCAGGGGTCCAGGGTTTGGCGGGGGATCAGTCCTGAACCCCAAATCGCCAATCGTTTAGGATCCAAGGGCTTTCGAGGGCCGAGGGCTTAGGGTGTGTTGCACGGTCCCTTAAACTTGTATACCGCATATACACCCCACTCCAGAACTTAAGGGGCATAAGGAGGCACGTAACTCAAGTGCAACCCTGCCAAAATCGTCAAGAGACCCGCGAAACCTCAACCCCTGAAACCGAACCCCAGCATTGGCCAGACTTCTCCCAACCCTAAGCCCTAAACCCTAAACCCAAATCCGGAACCCCAAGCCCTATAAACCCCAAACCGAAACCATGGGCCTGAAGCCCGCAACACTGCAAGCATCCCTGACAAGAAACCTCGTACCCCAAACTGCCTAAACGCTCTGAGGCCGAAACATTCAGGGTTTAGGAAGGGTTTAGGGCTGTAGACGCATGCCACGTTTCTCCCGTAGACCTGCAACCCCTAAACCCTACAAACCCCTAAAAAGCCCGAGAACGCCCGATAAACCCTTCGAAACCCTTATAAACCCTGGTATAAACCCCTATAAACCCTGTAAACCCTATAAACCCCTTTAACCCCTATAAACCCCTAAAAAACCCTATAAGCCCCTTCTAAACCCTTATAACTCTATAACCCTATAAACCCCTATACACCCCAAACCCTATAAACCCTAAACCCGCCACCTTCCCGCGCTCGAGCCCAAACCCCAAACCCCAAACCCCAAACCCCAAACCCCAAACCCCAAACCCCAAACCTCGAACCCCAAACCCCGAACCCTAAACCCCAAACCCCAAAGCCTAAACCCTAAACCCTAAACCCAAAACCCCAAACCCTAAACCCTGAACCCCAAACCCTAAACCCCAAACCCTAAACCCTAAACCCCAAACCCTAAACCCTAAACCCCAAACCCTAAACCCTAGAGTGCTGACAGGCCGCCGTACGGCCTCGTCGACGGATCGGCCCAGCGGCTCGTCGTTGACCTCGTTTCACAACGTGGGTTGTTCGGGTAGTTAGGGTAATTTAGGGATATAGGGTTTAGGGTCTAGGGTTTAGGGTTATAGGGTTTAGGGTATTTAGGGCTATAGGGTATAGGGTTTAGGGTAATTAGGGTTTACCTGGGACTCTATTTTTAGGAGGTATAACCCAGAAAAAAACAGTAGGTAAAGAGAGTCCCAGGTGAGGTCTGGGTTTAGGGTTGGACTGCCAAAAGGCGCAAGAAGACATATAGCAAGTCAAGTCGTTTTACCACGAGAATGGGGCTCCAAAGGACCAATGATTTCAATGGTCTGGCTCCCAGAGACTCCCACAATTACCCCTGAATTAAGGAAATTCCCTTAGATTGTACTAGGGCTCCTCTTTATGGTTTCAGGAACCCTAAACCCTAAACCCTAAACCCTGAACCCTAAAGCCCTAAACCCTAAACCCTGGGAGTCTCTGGGCTGTCTCCTACGCGGCCGGATCCGCAGCTTCGGCGGCAACCACCGAGGGTAGCACCGGCAACGCGTGCCAGAGCAACAGGGCGACGACGGCTGTCACACCAAAGTAGGCTACGGCGCCAACCTCGAAGCCTTGGGTTTAGGGTTTAGGGTTTAGGGTTTAGGGTTTAGGGTTTCGGGTGCTAGCCCAGCAACCATGTTATAATAAGGGCACCCATTTTTTGGGGTTCGCTAATTTATAAGGGAACCTTGAACACAAAAAAAGGAAACAGGATACCACTGGGCTTATACCCTAAACCCTAAACCCTAAACCCTAAACCTTAACCCTAAACCAAGAAGCCCATACCGTAGTGGAAGGCGAAAATCTCAATCGCGGCAC